GGATAGGTCCTTTGCACAACTTACCCACAAACTTTTCTACCCAAAAAAATTAAAAAAAATATTATTGTCCAGTGTATTATTAAATTCTTCCCAAATTCTATTAATTATAAATGGATCTAATTTAATAAACCAAAGGAAATATTAAATATTATTGTCAAAACTGCTTTTTATGAAACAAGATTCAATTATATTCCTGTCGACCATGGACTTGCTTGATACTACTTTCTCAACTTTCTGAAAATCAATTGGATGGCTAAAATCTCTTACAGAATAAATAGAGCATTGGAATCTTGTCCAGTTTCTAATGCTATATTTAAAGTTGTTTTAATCTTAGTTCGAGATTTTTACCAGTTTGACCGTAAAAACTTTATCGCAAATTTTAAAAAGGAATCTTATAGACACATCCATCAGCATTTTGGGGGAATTCTTACAAAAGTTTTTTTACTGTATCAAATTTTTTAATACAACATAATATTAAAAGTCTTAAAAGAGAAGGCATATCAACCAGGTTTTTCAAAGGTAAGGGAGAACCCCAACATATTTTTAGTTTGAATAAGGGTGGTTGTCCCTTTTTGGATTTGTAAAAAGTATTTCTAGCAACTTTAAAAAAATTTATCAATTACATTTCTTGGGTATTTTAAATCATTACCTATTTCATAAATTTTGGATATTTCCTCATCTATGAACTCAGGACTACAAATTCGTAAAGCTCTCAAAAACATTGATGAGAAAACGGACAGTTTGGACTCTATCTTGATGCGAGGAAAATAGTGGACATAGGAAAAAGTTATTTGTAAGGTTTTCTGTAAATTTTAAATTTGAATTCATTATTACCCTTTAAAAATTAAAACATCTAGAAAAGGCAATGAGTTATTTTCTTCAAACTCAACAGTAAAAGTTTATAGAATGGGCTAAGCTATTTAATTTTCCAAGGAAATGGTGTAATCTACATTTTTGGGCATAAGACAAAAAAAATATCATAACATATCTGAACCATTTTGCTCTATAGGGAGGATTGGTTAAGCAACCTTCAGATAAGAAACTTAAAAACATCAACAGGGAACTTTCGTAAACAAGGAAGTAACATCAAAACTAACCTGTTAAAATCTTTTAAAGTCAGAAGGAGCAAATTTTATCAACCAAGTCTTGTTTTTTTAAAAAAAAGTTAGAAATTTTGCCAAAAATAGGGCTCAAAATACAACAAGCCTTTTGGGAAAATTTTTATAAAAACGACCCAGGAGCTAAAAATTTGGGTCTGACGGTATATATAATTTATATAAATTATATATTAAATATTAAATATATATTATATATATATATTATATTAATATATATATATATATATATATATAAATTATATAATATATTAATATATATTATAAATATATATTTATAAAATTATTATATATAATATAATAATATATATATATTATATATATATATATTTTAATATATAATATATATATATTAAATATATTTTTTAATAAATATAAGTCGGTCAAATAGGGAAAACTTGCATTTGGACAAATAGAACGCTCATCTTCCCAATGGGACAAGTGAAAATTTTTGTATGCAGTAATTTCGCCAAAATCACAAACCTAACGAAAAAAATATTTTCCTTGTTTGTTTAGTATTAAATTTTGAAAACAAATTAAAAATATATTTTTGGGGTTACATAAAGGAACTTTTTTAGAAAAGGGGCAAAAGAGGCTTTGTGGCATTTAGGATTTGGGAAAAAAACGTAGACGGGTGGATGGGGGGCAATGTGGCAATTTTTGCAAGTGTATGGTGGGGAGGTGGGTTACGAAAGCAGGAAGAGTTTTTTTCGAGGATATGAGGCTCAAATTAAAAATGTAGAAAAGAGGGAAATTTTTTCCCCGTAAAAGTAGGCCCTTTGCGGGAGTGTGAGCACCGTGGTTTTTAATATATTTTTAAAATGGGGTTGTAAGAGAATAAATGCAGGGTCTTGGCAAAGGCTGGAGTTAAAAGATAAGAATCACACAAGGTGGGGGTTTCCAGCTGCTCTTTGCTGAAACTGGCTCTTGGGGGGATTTGAAAAGAAGCGCAGAGGGGTTGTGGATAATTTGGTAGGGTTGCAAAAGAAAAAAATTAAAGGAATACAGGAAAGAGTAAGGTTAGAGGGAAAAAAAAAAGTTAGGGAAAGAAAGAATTTAATACAATTGAGGGAAGAGTAGGAGAGGGAACGTATTCAAATTTTTGGGGGTGGAGTGTTAGCGGATGGGTCTTGAAAGATGAGGGGGAAACATAAATTGATGAGGGAAAAAATGAGTGGTGCACTTGGAGTTTGTGGAGACAGAGAACTTTTTCCTTGGAGGCCCAAAGGGGAATGTTGAGATTTAAAATTTTTACCAACGCTCTTATATGGGGGTGAAGCATGGGGGTGAATGTTGCGCGAGGGGGAAAAGGGGGAGGCAGTGGAAGTCATGCTGAGGGCAAGTTGGGGTGAAAATAAAGCAAGAAAATTTGTAGTTTGGAATTAGGAGGAGGGCGGGTTACCAAAAAAGTTGTCCCCGAGGGTGAGGAAGGGGTTTTTTTGGGGGGTTGGACAGTAGAGAGAAGGAGCGAAACAGAATAACTTCAAAAAAAAGTGTATCAGTCTGTAGTGGAAAGGAAGCGGGGTAGGGTCGGCCTAGGAAAGGGGTTTGGGGGGGGGGGTAAAGGAGGTTTTTTTTGTGGGGGGGCTTGGACTTCCCGCGGCATGCGTGAGGTGTTTGAAGGATTTAATAGAAAATGGGTTTTTAAAAAAATTTACGGCTGTTGGAGGGAGCAAAATAAACATTTAGAAGGGATTCGGGAAACCGGGAGGGCGGACTTATCCTGGAGATGGGAAATACGTGCCCTGCCTCTGAAGGAGGGGGTTAATGTTGCAGTTTAAAAAAATTATGTAAAAAACCCCCCCCCCCCCTTTTGGCAAGACAGTGAGGAGTGAATGAGGTGAAATTTTTCTTTTTCGGGCCACCCGCCCTTGGTGGGAATGGGCCAGTGTGTAAAAAATAATAAAAATAAAAATTTTTTAAGATTCTTTGGTGCAAAATTTAAATTTTTCATCAACATTAAGAAAAAAAATATATTTTTAAAGTAAAGGGGAAAATTTTGAAAGACTTTAATTTTAAAAAGGTTCTTTTAAACTGACCAGTTTTACATATTTGGGACGACATATATATATAAAAAA